GGCACATTGTAGACTTTTAGCTGCTTGTTTGATACATGAGTGTTAAACCTTTCAAAAAAACTCTAAACTTTTGATTAACTTTAACCACTTATATATACGACATTATAAAAAAAAATTCGTTCATGATAAAAAAATTTATTACTTCTGGGGTCAAGGGACTCTGACAACAGTGTGTTCCAGCTGTGCTTACTATGCCAAATTCCATCCTTCCTTTTTCACGGACGTAATACACGAGCTCCTGTGAAATTCCTGATGCTCGTACTCGTACGTAATATGACGTACATACATGTACAAATTAATGCACGTGTGTACAGGTTAGGAGGGGGGGGGGGGGTTAATGACTGCTCGACTCGAGCGCGCGCCGTTCTTGCCCCGTTAGATCGTTCATCTCTCTCTCTTGTACGAAAATCGTTGGTTTGATGTGAGATGAGGAGTATACACTATACACGCACTTCGGTTTGGCTGTATTAGGCTGTAAGCACGTTCTTAGGCGAATCGTTGGAAAATGCGTTGTTAATCGTAGATGCGTATACACCGTAGAATGCATGTAACCATAAGTATGTGTATGGTATTCTGATGACTTGAGAATCTGTGAGTACACGTATCCCTTATACCTGTTTGAATCTGCATCAAGGCAGTGTACTTGGAAATGTACGTTGCATTATCGACTCTTTGACTATTCGATCTAATGATATTGATGTAAAATATTTATACAATACTATTTTATCACTCTTACAACGCTGAAACACATAAAAAGTGTTTAAAAAAATATAATGCGAGCATGTATCAGAAAGAGAGAAAAGGAAATCTCGCTGTTCTTGATGAATCGATTGTACGCTCTTGTAGGACGGTGTAGGGTTGTGGTAATTAGCGCAGCCGTTATTCTTGAGGGGCCATTATGAAGATGGGGTAATTTGTCTGGAAATCCCTTAATCGTGCCTCGGCAATTATCGAACTGCTGAAGAGAGTTTGAAGGTAGTTTGCATGTATATATATCTGTACACGTGTGTCTTAAAATTAAGATGGAAATCGAAGGATTAATGGTTCTTGCGCTGATTTGATGGATAATGAATGGAATGTGACGTAACGTGCTTAACTACTGGCTCGTGGTCGAATGCGCAATTGGATTATTCGATTACGTCGTACAGTAACATCGATACGCATGTACTGACAGCGACTCATTACCATTTGGAACCAAATCTTGGCATCTTTTGCATGGTCGTTGAAATTTTTACTGCCTGTGTACAACGCGTGGATGCTTTTCTTGATCTTCGTCTTATCTTAGTCTTTTTACGGAAAGCCATAATATATTTCTTCAAATTATTGATAACTGCACCTAATCAATAAATATTTTTATGCTAATATGATAACTGTAAATCATTGGTAAGAACCTTAAAACATATTTTCACCCCATCCCTTGAAAACTGACCACATGGTAACTCTAAGTCAATCAATTGAAAAGACTTAATCATATTGTTCCAAAAGAAAAACCACAAAAATACGTACTTCATTGAAAGTTCCAAATTCACCAGAGAATACAAATCCAGTAAATCTCCTCATTACATGAAACAGCACTTCAACAGTAATCTCGTGGAAACACGATACAAAACATAACTGGCTTACAAAGTTAGCCAACTTAGCAAACGTCACGGATGGACCTTTGGAGATGTGATAAATTTTGCTAGCTCGCTTTCACGCTCTGCGTAACATCTGAAATTCGCAAGCGCAGGTGCTGGAAATTTCCGTTCGTTAAAATTTAATTAAGAAAAACTTTTATCTCCAGCATTCAAATACATGACCTGTTAACAATAGTTCTTTGCTATCTGTCATGACTAAAGAACATTCCAAGAATAATCCGATACTCAAATACTAACAAATCATAGGTAACATACAAAGAAAAGGTGATGCATAATAAGACCGTGACAATGTTAATGTTTTCAATTTTTTCCACATCACTACCACCGTTAGCCTAAATATCAAACTGGCTTGATGTTGTGAGGTCCTTATGCAGATAGAAGTACAGAAAACTAATGTTCGAAATAAATCACGAAAAAATAAATAATTCAAAGTAATTGCATATCACGCATATAGTATATACAAGCTGTGGCTATAATTTGTGTCACTGTTGCCTTAGAATTCAATTGTAATAAGCTTCATAAAAAATAAGTACGTGAAGCGTAACAGAAAGCCAAAACGAGTGAACTTTGAAATCGATTTTTTCATCCGTTATAGGTTGAGTGATACAACTTACTCAGCCATGCACCGTACCCTCAAACTTCAAGATGAAAATAATTGATTATTTCGTCAAAGGGGAAAAAAGGGGGAAGAATTTTAGTGTCATTCCCCGTAACTTTGGCTTCTTCCAACGTAGCAATTTGAAAAATCCCCGAGTCCGGTTAATAACGGAGAAACATCCAGAAAGACCCCCCCCTCCCCCTCCTGTACCAATCACGAGTACTGCGCAGAAAGTTATACACAGTGAGCCAAGAACTTTGCGAACGCAAATTACTAAATTATACACATAAAGCAAACCAAAGTTGAGAGCGCAACTCCGGTGCGTCCGCACAAGCGTTGCGGAGAAGGGTATAAACGGGCGGGTCGTTACGGCTTCGCGAGGAGAATTTTTGAAATTGCCTTTGTTTGGGAAGGCTCGCGTTTTTCAAGGGTATGGCACTCTAAAAGTACTTTGTTTGGTTTTCTCGATTCTAGAAGTTTGACACACACGCACTCACATAATTCCGTTTGTCGTTGATTGGGTAATACTTTTGAATCAAGGAATTATTGGTACCTGTCTTGATACCTGTCGATCATTTCATGCATATTGTACGTTATAGGTTGGGAAGTGTAATGGATGTCTTATTGGAGTGGTAGTCAATAATACAAGTAAACATTTTAGATGATTGAAGGATGTTAGCTACCTTCATCAGGCGTCTCAGTAAAATGTGACTCAGCGAACAGCCACCGAAGCGTAGCGCATCTTCAATCATCTAAAATGTTTACTTGTATTATTGACTACCACTCCAATATTGTACATACAAGTGACTGTTACATTATCATGTAATTGACGTCGTTAAGAAGGCTAACCCTTACGAAGTACGAAACGATCTTTAATTTAAGACAGGTACAGAAAAATGGAAAGCACTTTTTATTACTTGCAAAAAATTGAAACCTTCAAAAAAGGCACTCTCTTTATTATCTTGACTTTAGAAATTTAATTATTATGAAGAATACGTAGGGTATGACGATAAAATTATATAAATAATAATAAAACACACTGATTGTCTAAAAAAATTTGCTAAGCTCATAAAATTTTAACAAAAGTTTTATGATAACTTAATCCATAGATTACAATGATATTTTTGATTTTTTTATGTTTTTGTGTCAGGAATGAATATCCTCAACTAACAAAAGCATGTAACGAATTCCCGGAAACGCAAAAACATTTTTGTATAGGTTACAGATATTAAACTGAAATTGTAAAATTATCTACACTTTTCAAGATGATTCGGGAGGTAACAAACCTCAATTACATCGCTTTGTTTCTCCACAATATGTCATATTATACTTCAATAATGGAAAAAAATACATAAAGAAAAATTTCAGATGACAGGCATATAACAAAATTTATTGCTTGCCCAAAATTTCTTTGTTTTCTCTCGATGGGATGTATACGATTTTTTTATCAATCCTACACGCAAAGATTTGCGTCTCTTTCTACCTACGCATGCAATTACTGTGAATTATCAACCATAGAATATCAGTCTCACACCTTACTAATTATTATGTCATGGAATTGTCGCTTACGTAAGTTTTTATAAAGTTTATTAGTCTAATGTGCATTATTTTAATACGTTTACACTTAGATATTCCGTTTAATTTATATAGTTTTCATATCTGCGAGTGTTACAGTAATTTTTGTAACAAAAATCAGACATAAAGTTTCTCATATACGTTGACCTTGATTATGTTTTTGGCTACACACTAATGAAATTCTCAACGTTTCATGGTAAGATTGTCTATATTTTTTATGTGCATTACTCATGTAAATTAATTATTGGGTCTAGCTAAAATCGTTCATTGCATTTTTGTATCTTGAAAAGGGAAGTTCACTACACTCCCGCAACATTGAGATTTCGTAAATAAATTACCAGCTAGAAAGGACCCAGTGTGATCACTGGTTTTATTCACTCACCAACCTTATATCCTTCATTGATGAATTTTGCTCAAATCGATAATTGGGCGGTCTTGAATTGAGTGAATTTTCGTAAAAATCATTTTTTGTGCAAACAAATTACAGTAGCCTCAACCCATTCAATATCAAAATAAAGTAGTCCTTTAAATCGTATGACTGATTTCGATTCCCCTTGAACTTTTAAATAAATTATAATATAAAGTGAAGAGAAACCTTTTTCCGTTTGCAGTTAAAAAATAAATTAAAATAGATAAGATTTGTTGTTAGAACAAAAGATGGGATGTATTGTATGCAACCATCGAACGCTCCAAGATGCACCGACCAGAAGCAGCAGTGCAAGTGAGATATGAAAAGCCCAAGCGAGGCATCAGAAAAAACTTTTGTTCGAGAGAACCAAAAGCCCAACAACCCCGTTGCGAAAAACAAAAGAAGAACCCATGAAGGTCTTGATTCGAAATTCCGCGCCAACAGCGGTGCACACTTGCACAGCGCTCCGAGCGCTCATGACCCCGTTAACACTCGAGCGCACGTCCACTCTCTCCCACACATCCAACCCGGACACGCGGTCACCGGTCAAGGGCTGCTACATACATGTGTATATAATATATCCTCATTCATAAAATATTCGCACGGTACACGCGCACGATCGGCGCCAGCGTCCCGTGAAGCGTCGACGCAATCACGTGCCTGTACAGCACAATACGAGAGTGTGTACTACTAATGTCACGTTAGCTTTTGTTCCCGATTAGTGTTCGCGATGTTGCGATACGCGATCAGCTGTTGTTGAGCTGCGCTTGCGCTGTTTGGGTATTTTTATTTTTATTGGCTGCAGGTGAGAGCCACTGAGAAGAGTCAGCGGTGCATGGAGGGGTCGCGCTGCGTGTGTAATGCATATTATGCATATGCACAAAAGCGCGCTCGATTCGACTGACGGTGATTTTGCCGGTGACGAGAAAGTTGTTTGGCTGGTTCTTCTGGATTTTTTATGCGGCTGCTGGGTACGTGATTAATATACCTTTAATTTTTTTTTCCTCTTTCGTGACGATCCTTTTGCACTTTGCGTTTGTTATTTCGATCATTAATTTTTTATTAGGACAATTTTTGCTTGGGGGACTCCAAAAATCACAGAGTATATTAAATTACGTTTTGTATTATTAATAGTGTCTGTAAAACTGATTTTTTACAATAGTATGTTTTGTGATAGTTAACTTTTGTAGCATTAATATTTGTCATGGAAATCACGATAATTTCAGTATTTTAACAATGCAGGAAAAAAAATTTTTTTTCGTAATGTGTCACATTACAAAAAGCCGCATGGACTAAAAAAATTGTTATAAAGTTTTTTTAAAATCGCATTTCAAGTAAAAAATTACAAAAAAAATTCCATTACACCTGTATATAATGATAAGATAAAAAAACTGTTAGGGTATGGTGGAACAATTGAAGCGACGGGGTAATCAGGGCTTCTCTTAATATGAATATTGGAGGATAA